AATATGAAATGAGTTTGTGATTCTAGTTGATCTTGAAGTTGATCTTGAAGAAAAATTAAATGTCATTTCAGACTTGACTTCAGACTTGAAATGTCATTTCATGACCGACTTTCTGCTGCGGAACACAAAAGAAGACATTTTGTTTCAACTGTATTTGCCCATACAATGAAAGTCAAAGGGATCTAAAACAACAATGGACCCCACTGACTTTGGATGGATAGAAGAAAAATAACGCTCAGACATTCAAAATGCCTTGTTCTGCATTCCACAGAAGTTATACAGGTTTGACATGAATGTGTAAATTTTTGGGTGAACTATCCCTTTAATGTTAATATTTGAGAAAACAATAAATTTACTCATTTGCTTGAATAATCCATATTAAATACTTGTAGCATCAACCAGCACTTATTTCAACCACACAGCTGTTTACTGCTATAGTAAAGCACACAGCTGCATCTTTGAACTGTATTTGGAGAATAAATAGACCTATTATTCTAACCTGTTGTGCCTGAAACAATGTATATTTAAATTATTAATAAATCACCTAATCTGTTCTTTCTTCCCAGAGTTTATCAGTGACAAATAACCGATTGTTTAAAGCCCATGTGTGCACTCCACATCTGATCTATTGTATATACTGGTGGTGACTAATTGTCCCTGCTTACAAAAATGCACATGTGGCTCTTCCCAAGCAGGTACCTTGTAACTTCAAAGGTCAATTTAGTCAACTTTAGTCAAAAAATGTCAGGGGTCAATACTAGCTTGAGTTACCATCAGTGTTCTGCTGTGCCCTTTCAGAAAAAAAAAACTTATTCTGCTGAGGTACAATGATAGATCAGCACATAGTGAACTTAGAACAACCGTGGAAGCATATCAGTTTGTTTTGCATGAAATCAAGGTTATTTCTTTTGATCTAATCACTATGACAAGAGTAGCAAATAAACAAGCGGTTCTTTTCCAACACAGAATAATCCTGCGAAAGCTGATTATAATATATAATTAGACCGTACACATGTGAAGAATATTGATAGAGAGTGGAGCAGAATGAAAAATGACCACCCTTTGTGCAGGTGTTCTGTGGGAACTATCGCGTCTATGTCAGTGTTGTTAATAAATAGGGATCCTTTGACAGAACAGTGTTATGCAAACCTGCTTTACAATTATCTAGACAATTAAAGGCTTCTGATTCAGCATAAATGATGGCTTTTTTACACTGAAAGGTGGGGAAAATAAAAAAAATATTTTTGAGAGAAGTAAGCTATTGGTATAATTATATCCAGGATAATTACTAATTTGTTTGAAAGAAAATGCAGCAAATATTGTGTTTACCAGTATGTCAAACTTAATTTAATAGCTCAGTTGTTTGAGAACAAGTTCAAAAATAAAATGTGAAATGCATATCTGATTTATCTTTTAAGGTTTACATAGGATGAAAGACTGAATCACATTATATGCTTTACCCACAAGGAACTTAAAGATGCACCTTTTAAAATGATGTACATGGGGTTCAGTTTACAGTTTACAGGTCATATGACGTTGCTAAAAAGAACATTATGTTGTGTATTTGGTGTAATGCAATGTGTTTATGCATTGTATGCTACTCTGCAGGTTCAGGAAACAGTCTTCCATAAAATGCGTCACACACAGCGGGCTTGAGTGAGCGGAGGCCGGAGGCCTTGAGAACGGCCCCGCCGGTGGATTCGACGAAGGAGCGTCCAGCGGGCTTGCAGCAACCACATGTGACGACCCCAGGCTGGACTCCGCTTCGTCCACGGTGAAAGCCGATCCAGCGATCCACAGCGCGAAGTTGATGTATTTCCTCAGCGACTAGCACGGATCAGCGCTAGGCATGACAAAAGGGATGCAACTTTACAGATCTTCTTTATGCACCATGAGCTTGTAACACTCCAAAGAGAAAGGAAAAGTTGAAATCGCATCATATGACCCCTTTAACATGAGTTGATCTACCTCTAGCCACCATTTTGAAGTCACATGACTAGGTAAACACTACTTTCTTTTTTCTTTTTTTCTTTCTTCTTTCTTTTTTTTTTTAAATCAAAATAATTTTATCATATCTGACAAATATGCTTGCAAATTGGACATTTCATTGGTATGTGAAAAGCTTTGCTCTGAAGGAAAGAATTTGTTGAAAATTTACTCACCCTCAGGTCATTCGAGATGTAGATGAGTTTCTTCATCAGACCAGATATGAAAAATTAAGCATTACATCACTTGTTTAACCATTGGAATCGGCAGAGTGAATGGGTGCCATCAAAATAAGAGTCCAAACAGCTGATAAGAACATCACAGAAATCATCAAGTAATCCACACGACTCTAGTCCATCAATAAAGGAATTGTGAAGTGAAAATCTTCATGTTTGTAATAATGTTTTTAACTTTTACAAACTTTTACTAGTCCTCTATCCATAATATTGCTTTCTCCAGTTAAAAAGTTGTCTTATCTGAATCAAGAGAGAAATATGCACCAATCAAGCACCGTTTAGAAGCAAAAACAGTCTAGAACATTTTTAAACACATATGTCGATGGATTCTGATGTGAGAGGACAACAGGCCATGGACTTTTTCACTGGAAGAAGCATTATTTTGGATTATGAACTGGTATTTTGACCAGAAGTGATAGTTTAAAATTAAAATTTAATTTGTTTCTTTTACAAACACGCAGCTTTTCACTTCACAAGACATTAATCGATGGACTGAAGTCGTGTGGATTACATTTTTTATCAGCTGTTTGGACTCTCATTCTGACGGCACCCATTCACTGCAGAGGATCCATTGGTGAGCAAGTGATGTAAAGCTAAATTTCTCCAAATCTGTTCAGATGAACAAACAAACACTTCTACATCTTTGGATGGCCTGAGGGTGAGTACATTTAAAACAGATTTTCATTTTTGGGTGAACAGTTCTTCTATTGTTATGTTATATCTCAAGATCATTTAGCAGTCATAGTCCATAAGTAAAAAAAAACAAAAAACAATTAGTGAATTGCAAAAATGAGAATGAGGTTTTGTTGAAGGAGATATAAAAAAGACATGGGAAAAATGAACATCTGGATGTTTTTTTTTTAATCTTACAGAAGCAGTAGGGCTTTCATAAAAACATTTAACCCTGGCTTCACATTGTTCATATACACACATTTCTGCATGTTAACATGTTGTGAACTGCAAAAACAGACAACATTCAGTCATAGCGTGAGCATGTCAGAGCACATTAAATCATGCAGTCAGAGGAAAGTGATCACAGCACAATAGAAAGCTCATGTAAATCGTCATTTTCCTCCCTCAGACTTGACAAACTAGCAATTATTGTTCACATGACTGCTAACCAGTGTGAGGGCAGGGAGCAAGAGAAGTTATTTTAGTTGCAAACCGTAATAAACAAATTAACCAATGCTCACTGAGATAATTCAGAGGGAAGGATACACAGAAATTAATATTTGTATACTCAGCAGCCCTAAAAAGCATTTGGACACTCAAATCACAAAACCCATGCTAAAAACATTTGATATGTTTATGTATCTTTCCAATTCCCATTGCACTTTCCTAAGAGAGGTTTAAGTCAAAAGGCGAAAAGATTGGAGGCCTAAATGCATTGCACAACATGACTCACAACATTGATTTCTTTGGCAATATGACGTTTTTGTCCCACCTCATGCCCCTAGATTGATGTAAGATTTGAGTTTGAATGAAAATATGAGCTGCTCTTATCTGATGAGCCACATTCTATGAGATCCTCAATTACTAGTTGAGTCACGTTGATCTCAGCCTCATGCTCCTGCATCTTTTACCACCCAGGCATGACAAGACCACACTCAGAGCATCCCTTCTCCTTTATTAGGACGGCACTCACTGTTCCCACTATTAATAATTACAGGTTTAAAATATCATGTGCGGATTCTAATACATTGGGAACGTGATGACACAGCAGCTCTTCTTGGTGCACTTTCTGAAAACATCTCTTGTGAAAGAGACAGATCAGATGGAGCTGCTGATTTGAATCTTTTAGGTCTTTTTACCCTGTCGAATGAGAGAATATTTAACTCTTTTATTGGGAAAAAGAATCATCTTCAGAGAATAAGACCAACATTTGACTAATGGTTTAAAGAGTGAAAAGGATCTAAGGCCAGTTATTAAGTAACCAAGTTAATCTAATTCTCCTTTAAATTGACAGACTAAAATAGCAGAGAACCTTCTAGGCACCAGCTTTGCTTCGGTCGCACATCTTGAACAGCACCAGACAACTTCATTAAAAGATATAAGTAAAACAGATTTTCAAGAAAGTAAATGCCAACATTTATAAAGATATAAGGAAGTTAAATTAAATATTTAAGGATTTAATTATGTTTCCCTTTCATGTATTGTGTCTAAATGTCACAACCAAACTACCTTCAAGAAATGAAATAAAGAAAAACTGAAACTGAACTTAAGTTTCTGCATGTTTAAAAAATGCACTCCTCAATTCAACATTTTGGATTTACTGATCTTTTGGGTTTAAGAACGCTTGGATGATCTTTAGGAAATGTGAGCACATACTGACCTCTACAGGGCATGACTTTTACTGAATTAACCTGCAGTTGAGAACACTTGCAGGTTTAAATAAGATTATTACATGTTTCATTGCACAATATTTCAAAAGACCAATGATGAGCTGAACTGAATTTCTGACTTCTCACTCAGTCATCAGTCTCTTATTATCTTCCCCGATTCTGTTTTACAGAGGAATCATTTATTGCAGTCCAAGAGCAATACTAAAAAATAAGTCTAATGGGAGGTAATGTATAAAAAGGGCATTAGACAATGTATGTTGTGCACTGTTGAATTATGGTTTTAAAACGTGAAATGGCAACCAGTGAATGTTACAAATATTCATGGCTGGAGGATTATGGTGCTGCTAAGGACGATGTTGTTGAACAAAACTGAATTATTTGTCTAAAATGTTGTGCTCAACTGAAGTATATTATACTTCCAGAAGTGTGTGTGTGCACAGGCATCATTTGGATCATTCCTTAAGTTCCTGTTCCTTAGGTTTGCTGTCCGTTTGCCCATCTCTCCTGCTAGCCAGCTCTTTCAGCCCCTCCTGAAGCTGCTCTATGGCCTCTCCATCTCCTGCTGCATGTGCTAGAGCCAGAGCTTTTTGGTACAGTGTACCAGACTCCTCAAACTCCCCTGGTCAACAAAAGGCAAACAACAGTGACACAACTGTGTAACCCTGAGAAATTTTTATTTTAATTATAAAACAATATGCATACACACACACACACAACCAAAAAGTATGAATTTTAAAAATATGGGGTCAGTAATATTTTTTCAAGAATACTTTTATTAAGCATGGATGCATAAAATTGACAGTGAAGACTTTTTACAAAAAAATACATTTATAAAAAAAGCTGTTCTATTGAACTTTCTATTCATCAAAGAGTCCTGGAAAAATATGTATCACTGTTTCTACAAAAATATTAAGCGGCACAACTGTTTTAATCACTAATGATAATAAAAAATGTTTCTTGAGCACCAAATCAGCATTTTAAAATTAGAGATCTACCGATAATCGGTTTTACCGATATTTTCCCGTTATTTAGAGTCTGTTTAAAGCAATATTAATAAATATATGTTCTGAGTTTGTCACACCACAGAAAAATGTGTTATTAAACACTCAGCCAAATTTGAATGAAAAAAAAGGCAAGTAAATAAAATAAGTTATAAAATCTTGAAAAAAAACAACAACTATATTCTCTGCTCTCAAACGGCAGGGGGCGTGTCCGCTGTCGCCGCTGAAACCACGCCCACTCACTGGAAAGCTGCTGTCTCTCTAAACAGTCAAATACCGCTACAACCTGAATGGATGCTCCCTCTAGCAGCTTATTTGTATTTACACAGCCATACCACAGGTAATATCCATTTACGTGACAAAGGCATAGCTAGCTAGCAAACTGTAGGCTGTAGTAATGGCTGCTGAAAATTCAACTTTGCCAACACAGGAATAAATTACATTTTAAAACCGTTATTTTTAAATTGTAATTATTTTACAGTGAGCAATTCTTAGTGAGCTTAAGGCCATGCATACAATGTGCGATTTTAATGCGATTTTGAGCAGAATTCTAACTTGTGCGACTCTTTTTTGATTTCAGCTTTGTTGTGCGTCTTTTGACGTGCAGTGTACAGGGGGTAACGAGAGGTGATTAGCCTGTCCTGACCAGCAATGGGATGGTTGGATGAATTTCTGAAATGTCAGAAATTTTGGTCGCCCCTCAAGAGGGTATCGCACAGTTGAAGCAGAGCTACGAACCGACTGCCCTAAACTCCTAAACTCGCACAGACGGAAGCGATGGAGGCTACACAGTTCCGGGTTCGGGGGTCCCACATATTTATTTCGCACGTAGAGTGTGAGCAGTCAGGTTGCAACTTGACGAACAGACCGTATAGTGTTCGCACATAAATCCTGAGCTTTGGCTTGACATCGCATGCGAAGAGACTTCTTTCAAAAACATTACAAAAATCTTACTGACCCCAAGTGGTTGAATGGTAGTTTATATAATATATAATGTTGTATTTTTAGTATTATATAAATATCATAATTTATACTTTTTATTCATAAAAATATATTAAATATTGGAATTAATGTGATTTGTGCAATTCATTTGTTAAAAACCTTTATATGTAAACATCAATGGAGGTAACGGGATCGGTTGAACCTTTGTGCATCAGAATTCCCGCCATATTCCCAAGCAGCTCATGTTGATCAGGGTGACCCGCTGCCTGTCCAAGCTCAACGGCCTTCTTCACATGAGCCAGAGCCTCATCATGCTTCCCTTGCAGGTCTAACACGGTCGCCAGGTCACTCATCAGAACCAGGGACTGAAGCAGATTACACAATACCATTTAATGGGACAAACTGTTAGTCACATCAGAAGATCTTGTAAAATGACTGGGAACATATTCATTGAATAACTATGACAATATGATATATGTACTAGTGTGTAATATCTTACAAAGGAAACATCACCTGTGGATGGGACTCTCCCTGCTCCTCCTGGCAGATCTGTAGCGCTTGCTGATAATCTCTGCAGGCACCTGTGAAACGATGATTAGCTGCCAAATAACGCGCCCTTGCATCCAGACTAAGACCGAGCAGCAACTTGGTGTCTTTGCGCTCCTCATCTAATTGAAATCCAAACATATAGTAAGAGATCAATACACTGGCAAACAAACACTAATGATCTGTTTGCTTTAACATACAGCCAAAACTGAAAGTGGTTCTGAGGTATATGTGATACCTGACAGGCTTTCTGGAGGAAACTCCTTTTGTTTCTCAATCTTGGCCTCTAAGGACTCTGTGCAGAACTGGAAGCCATGCTCTGCCAATTTGTTCCTGAAAAAGAAAAGTCTGAGTTACTTAACAGTGCAGAGGTTAACAGGTCAAATAACTAGTGTTTTCCCTCTTTTCACTCTCTCAGCAGAGGACCAGAACTCACTTGTTTTGAGTGGCATATATGCTGGCCAGCTTCAGCGACATCTCAATCACTGCATTGTCATCCTTTTGAGATAAAACGAGTACAGGCAGTATAAAAACAGACTGAGGACGATTGCATTTCTCATTGTTTTTGCTTGGTTTATAGGATAATCAGTCAACCAAAATGAAGAAAATCAGAAATGAAGGAATCAGCAAAAAAAAAAGAGTGTTTTTACCTGTGGTGTTCCTCCTGACAGCATAAAACTCATGGCTGCTTTGAACAGCTTCTCAGCCTGCAACAAAAAAACAACAAATAGAGTCACATGCTGACGTTCACTACTGATGTACGCTCTTATGTAGAGTACTGAGTCAGTGGAGTAGGGCAGAGGGAAGATCACCCTCAGCATTACTCACATTATCCAGCTGACCTTGGACAAAGGCAAGATTCGCCATCTGTGAAGCTACAGAAACATTAAACAAAATAATGCTCTCATTTAATTTTCTCTGTCATCTAATATATACTATTGATGGTTGCAATTTTTTGTTTAACAATGAGAAAAAATGGACTGGGCTAGGTGAAAAAGAAGGACAAAGTCAGAAAACAACATACCAGGCTGTGTGTGTAAATTATGGCATCATTATTGTGCATCTGATGTGCCGGTCGAACAGTTTTGTGTAAGAAACCACTGGCAGCATCCAGTTCTCCAATCATCATGCTGTACTGTGAAGGGTGATGGAGTAACATTCAGTCTTCAAAAATAAATATGATGAAAGTCATTTTAAAAAATATTGAAGACTGGAATGCACTTCACAACTTTTGCCCAAGTTTTTGCCCCCCCATTTAAAATTTGGACAATTTGCTAGTTTCTGAAAGTCAGAGCCAGTCTGATGATCTGAACTGACAGATTTCACAGAAAATCGTGTATTGTATGATGTGCACAGAGCTGAGTTTAGAACACATATTGTTTTGCTTTGTCATGCGTCTCCTAGCATTGAGGCCCATGTTTCTGTATGACTGGTTGTGTGTGAAACTCAGTCATTTAGTGTATAATGCTCAGTTTTTTCTCTGCAACCATTAACAAAATCTGCACGTGAATAATCCCTACTTGTAAATTGTTGTAAAACCTGATTTGAAAAGTCATGTAGTGAATGCCAGCCTTAAAGGAATAGTTCACCCAAAAATGAAAATTTGCTGAAATTTTCACTTCACAAGACATTAATAGATGGACTGGTCTTGTGTGATCACTTGTGGATTATGTTTTTATCAGCTGTTTGGACTGGCATTTTGGCGGCACCCATTCACTGCAGAGGATCCACTGGCGAGCAAGTGATTTAATGCCAATTTTTTCCAAAACTGTTCCCATTAAGAAACAAACTCATCTACATCTTGGATGGCCTAACGGTAAATGTTATTTTTTTGGGTGAAGTATTCCCATATTTTAGGTTTTTTTTTTTTTTTTTTGTGGAAAGTCCAGAAATCTGAAACCACTACTTGCTTCTCATTTATATATTTATATGTAACACAAATTATTTAATTACAAATTATATTACCAGAGTAACAATGTAGCAATAATGTGAACTGAAAAAATCTTAGTCTTTGCTTTGTCCCTCTTTTTTCATTGTGGTCTCAGACTACGCTAGGGTAAACAAATGTAGGTACATCAGACTGTCTTAATGTGTTACCCGTGTGTCAGTAAAGAGAACTCAATAAAGCATCACAGGATACCTTGGCTTTCTTCAAGAGCAGAATAAGTTCGTCCTCAAGTTTTTGTTCTTCAGTCCTCTCATCAGAGCTTCCAAAAAGCGAAAAGGCTGCTGCAAAAGCAAATCTCACTGTTAGAATATTTTAATCATTACACACAGAGCTCATCCTGCGTTGATGTGGTTTATACATTACGTAAATATCATGAACCGCTGTTATGACAGCATCACGCATATTACGTCATGTGTCAAATGCAGCTACCAATGCTTTTGATTCACACAAAAAAACGGCATGCCAACTCACCCATGACACCCCACGCAAGAGTCCAGCTGCTGACCCCCGCAGTGCCTGAGTGACGCTTCTCACTGACACACAGATGCCGTGACCTTCTGCGCCAGCGGCTCGACCGCACGAACACACCAGCCGGCGCATGCAGCGATTTGATTCTTGCAAAAGATAAACTAGAACCGCATATATTTCTCGTACAGTCGTTAACACTGTGCTTTAAACGAGCTACCTGTGCAGCCAGCTGTCGACAGCAAGAGCGCAGAGCCATATTTTGTCATGTGACCTTATTTCTATTCAAATTTGGATTTAAATTCTATTTACATTTTAATTATATGGTTTTTGATGAATTGTGCATTGAGTGTGGATTTCATATATTATTATTAATTTATCTTAATGCCTGACACTTCAGATGCACTCAAACATACGGGTCATTCCTGTAGTACAATATTATTAATAAAAATACAAAATCTATCAATTTTATATACTTTTAAACTATCACATTTTAAAATATTACAAACACATTTGTTTAAATTAATCCTAATATCACAATTAGAAATTAATATATATTTATTTATTTACATCTTTCGGACATTTCCCTTATTCCTTGGGAATATTGTTTTAATTTGTAATTAACTAATAAGGGCCACTCATCCTCCAGGGTGTGACACAATTTTGGTTGAAAAAACAAAACAAAAACGAACCCTAACCCTAAAATAATAATTTAAAAATAAACTATAAAGAGCAGGTTTACAGATGAAAATTCCTGACCTATTACTAAGGTACTTTTTTAAATGACTGCATAACAGGAATAACACAAAGTAGACACACCGGTTTATTATTCACTCTTCTGTTTATTTATTGTACTAAAGCACAGATGAGGTTACAAAACAGCACAATATCCTGTTATCACCCACTGGCCATTAGTATTTTAACAGGAAAAAGAGGGAATGCTTTTCAGTTCTAAATTAGCACACAGTGGGTCTCTGTACCACAGATCATGCAGTAATTACAGGTTACACTTATTCATTTGTAGACACAGAAGTGCACAGAGAGAGAGAACTAGGAAAGGCATAGGGTGATCCATATACATTCACACTTAATATGCACATGAACAATAAGAACTGCACAAAAGATTACACAGATCACCTCAATTTAAATCCTTCCTCTGAAAAAATAGCTTTCAATGTCTGTAAAGCCTTTATACATTTCTTCTAAAAAGGAACAAAGTTACCATGACCAGAAGGAAAACAACAGCACACATCAAACTTCAACTGCCACACAGAATGAAGGAAGACTGTTCGCTCCTCACCAAACCTTGGAGTAACTGAGAAGGCTGTGTGTGTGTGTGTGTGTGTGTATGTGTGTGTAACAGAGGACAAAGGCTAAAGCCTAGGCACAGCATGAACACCTCACTCACGGCTCCCAAAGAGCTGAAGGAAAAAAAGGAATATGTAGACCACATCCATGTAGAGGCAGATGGCTCCGAACACATGCTCCTCTGGGTTCAGAGAGTACCGCCTGTTGCCGATCAGCAGCTGCATGTCAAATGCCAGAAACTATAGCACGACAAAAAGAAGATAATTACATCTTGTATGAAGCACATAAACATGACGAAATTGCATTGTTAAAGGGTACTAACCAGAGTGAAAACCAGAGCACCAAATCCAGCATAAGCAGTATGCAACCAGGGTATCTAAAACCACAGACAGAAGCAGATGTTTAAGTTGACAACACTGTACTGGAACACACTGGGAATGCATACTGCACACTGTATAAACGGTGGCAGGTGTGGTTACCACAACTTCACTGTAAAAAAAAAAGGTTGCAACATTTTAGGTTTTACGGATTGAACTTAAATTTATAGTAAAAACCTGTATTTCATTAACTGGTATAATGTTAATATACCAACCTATAATCTCTTTTGTACCTTTATAATATACTGACAACCACCAAAAAACACAGGAGGTAATGAGAAAGTCACATGATGAATCACAACATGAAGGTCACAACAAGTAGCTTTTCCACAAGCAGAAATAACCAATTAACAAGTTTTTACCGTACATTGTAAGAAACAAATTCATAGAAAAACGGATAATATGCTGGCTAAAAATTACCAGTACATTTACTGTTAAATTTACAGACATTTCCTTCGACCCTAAAACACAACACAATGCAAAGTGTAATTCAAACTATGGGTGAAACACCTGTAAAAAATCAATATAGACAATTCCTTCATATTAACAGTTTGGGCCATATTTTTACGGCCTTTTCTTAAGAGTGCAGCATTCTTAGAGTCGTTTACCATTAAAATTCTGATCATTTTATCCACCTTATTTTTCAATGCGGAACTAAGCCGTTTTCTGTGAATGTGCGAGACTTCCGGTTCATTAGCCGCTGTAGGAAAATAACGAGAAGAATAACAAAGTAAACGGTGAAACTGTTTGCACTACAAACCAGTGTGTTCATAATTAAACTAATACATTTAAATAATATGGTAAGACACACCAGTTTGCAACATCAAGCAGCAAAACGAGTTGTTTTGTACAGCTAAAAGTAGCTGGAAGGGAATAACACCGGAAGCCAGACACATTAAATTGGCTGCGTCTGTATAAATAAGGTGGATACAGTGTAGATATTTAAAAAAGATAACGGTAAAAGTTAAATCTACGTGATTATGGCACAGCATAATAGTGATTAAATATCTATTAATGGTTTACAAGCAGCTTACATATCCAAATGGTGCGGTGAAGAACAGCAGAAGCCCGGTGATCATCAGCACCATCATGAGGGAGAAAAGTAATCCATGACAGGTAGTGAAGTCAACCTAGATGACAGAAGACCTCACTCTATCAAATGACATATAAACGAAGCACTTGAAAGAAGCCGTTTAGGACAAAATGATCTCACCCTGGATTGGAAACAGAAGAGTGTGATGGCCAAACACACCAGTGCTGTGATGCCCACACACATCATCACCACTTTGGTATTATGATAGCTGTAAATAGAAAAAGAGTGAGATTGCTGCAAATTCAACACATACACACACATACACACTAACATTCTAAAGAGTCTAAAGAGCTAAAAAACGAAAAGAATCATTATAAAGAATATTTCACTTCTAACAGTACATAGTGTTTTAAATTAATAGAATACAATAAGTGTAATAAGTTATTACATTTAAATATAAAGTTTATCTTACCTGGCTAGCATGCCTGCCATATAGGACATTGCCAAAGTCTGAAAATAAAACAAGAATATTCACCCCTTTCCTTTTCTGGTGGTTAAAAAGGTTAAATGATAGTGGATACTTATTATAAATTAGTGTTTACTATCATTTAACTTTCAAATTAATGAGACAATGAGATTACTTACAAAAATGGCTAGAAGGATCATATTGGTAGGGTATCTTCGTCTGTAGATGAAACAAAAAAACACTGATAGATAAGTGATGTATGCTAAAGAAGCTCACAGTTCCTGAAATCACACATCTCCTATGTGAGCAAACATCTCATATGTTGGTTTCAAACTCAAAGACAAGAAGAAAGTATAATAAAAGGTATTTTCTTACCGTGCATTTGTGCTGCATACAAGCATCAGGTATGTTCCCATGAAAGTCATGCTGGACAAAAACAAAGCAGCGTCACTAACATGGTAAACATAATTCAAACATAAAGTCCCGAAAGTTCCCTCTAATGAGGAAACAGAACAGTGTATAATTCAGTCACTTACTATGAGGTCAGATAGAAAACTCGATTGTACTGTACAAACTTCCGGACAGGCTCACTGTGAAAGACAGTGACAGTGCTTTCTTTTAAAAGTGCAATAAATGCATATAATGGGGTTGTCATGTACTCTGATGTGTGTATGGCTTACCAAAATGTGAAGAGTGACACCACACCAAATGTGACCATGAGCTGAACCATGAGGATACAGAAGACCTGCCAAAGAAAAACATGCTTTTCATGATCAAAATTGTTCAGGTAGGTAAGATTATTAAATGTTTTTGAAAGACATCTCTTAAGCTCATCAAGACAGTACTAAAAACACTCTAAAACAGTTATATTGTGAAATATTATTACAATTTAAAACAGCTGTTTTCTATTTTAATATATTTTAAGTTGTAATTGCAGAAGTTGCCAAGCTGAATTTTCAGCTGCCATTACTCCAGTCTTTAGTGTGACATGATGCTTCAGAAATAATTCTAATATGCTTATTTGATGCTCAAGAAATATTTCTTATTATTATCAGTGTTGAAAACAGTAGTGCTGCTTAATATTTTTGAGAAATCTGAAATACATTTGAAAGAATTCCTTGATGAAGATAAAGTTAAAAGGAACAGCATTTATTTGAAATAGAGATCTTTTGTAACATCTGAAATACTGACACATATTTTCCTTTTAAAAAACTGCTGCAAATGGAAAAACAATTGAATCAGGACTTTCACACCTTCCTGATGAACATACGGCGGACATTCTTGTCCTCCCAGTTGCTTCCACTGAGGCCGTCGAAGCTGCTGCTGGAGCTCGGGTCAGAGAAGGGTGAGGACATGTCTGCAGCATATGCATTGGAATATCCTGGACCTAAACACACATTTTGCACTATTAACATTGTTCAAACAGAGAAGAAAGACATCAAAGATAATGTTCCTTGCTTACCAAAATTTCTGCATCAATAGCCAAAGATATTATAATAGATTGTCACTTACTTGGGCCAGGATGCACATAAGCCCAGCTGGGGTGCATGGGCATGGTTGGGGGTGGCATTGGGGGCGGCTGGGAGGCATAAGTGAAGCTACCAGCTCCTTGTTCTTTATCTCCTGCTGTAGCTTCAGCATAGCTGGGTGGGGCTGCTGGCAAACTCATGGTCTACTGTAAAACAATATCATTAACACAATGAAAGAAATCATCCGAGGATGGAATCACAACTAGCACAACTAGATCTGATACTTGAGCACCCTGGCTTGCATTCATATTTTATACCCCAACACCAATGGAACTTTGCAACTCTTCACCACATGAATTCATTATGAACCTAACACTTAGATCCTTTCCTGTTTTAAGCCAATAGCAGACAGAAAGGTTAAAGAAGAGCTTTTATAAAATGATCTTTCAACTGACCAGATTATAATGCTTATAAATTAACTCTGTAAAGCCTGACATATAAGTCCAAATGTTTTTAAATGGAAGAGTTTATTGAACCTTTACACAAAATTTAAAAGAACTTCTGATAGCTTGTAACAGTATAACAGACTTTTTACAAAAAAAAAAGCTTAAAAATTTTAGTCGTCGCTCTAAATCTCCTAACAATATGTCTTAATAAAATTATATTTAAATGTTTAGTTATATGATCAACACTCTGTAGTATTTATTGTGGGGGGCAAAACATATAATGCAATACAATACAATGATGACTGAGAGATAAGAACATTCCTCAAAAGCCTTAATACTCACACTTAAACATGATATGGATAATCAAGCCAACTTAAATGGCTTCAGTGCCGTAAATGTTCATTTTGAAATATTAATATCAATATAAAATGTATTCTTACATTTACTTTTCAAAAAGTTTTCACTGCAAAAAGACACGTTTACCTCATCCTAAAGGTGGACGTTTTTAAAATTAAACTAAAAAAAGTATAATTTTCTTGCTAAAAAAAAGTATGAACCTGCAATCAGATGACAGAAGGCATGTAGAAGATTGTGTAGAATTAATTTTTTTCTTCAACGAAGTGGTGATCATGCTGAAAATTTAGAGGCTTTAGAAATCATTGTATCAAATATGAACAGTAGTATTTACATGGTTAATTGTATTGTCAAAAGTGTAGTGTTATCTATCAGTTATTATCAACAATAAATATTGAACATCAGTTTAGACATATTGATCTGGCTAGTGACTGTAGAGCTGTCAAACACACCGCACAACAGTCTCTCATCCTAAACTATTAGTCCTAATGAGTACCGTTATACTAAAGTCAGTAGCAGAGACAGGACTGATACACATACTGACAGCGCTTAGCTTAGCTAGCACATCGATTACACTTTTCAAGCCCATTCTGTCGTGTATGAGACGACAAATGATTTGCGCATATAAGAATATGGCTGTTAGAAATTACTTAAAAATGTAGGTTCTAATTAATTAGTCATAAACTAAGTTCTGTATTTCAACTTACCTTACTGTAACAGCTAATGTGATACTCGAGATTCCCAAGTAAAAACAATGTACTCAATCATGTAATGACGTACGTCCGGTGTTTCCGGAAATGATAAACGCGAATCATGCACCGTTTTATCAAAATGTACAAAATGTATCATAAACATATTGATTAAATATCTTATTTTACAGCGAAAACGGGCTGTTGCTCATACAAGCCAGTAAAATAAACGAACTCACATATTTGATTAACTAACGTAATATATTATTTTTGATGGCAAATTTCCATATCCATAAAAGCAAATTCTCGAATTAGAAATCATGCTTTTTATTATTTAAAAATAAATGTTATACTGAATTCAGATCGTACACACAATTCTTTGCTAAAAACGGTTCATACACCGTAATTGAACAAGCACATGAACACTATGACCAAGTATTAAGTGATGTGCTATAATTTTGGATAAACGTCATATTTGTATGAATATTTTATATATCAGAATCAGCAAGAGCTTTATTGCCAGGTATGTTAACACGTACCAGGAATTTAGGGTGACAGGAACTTCCACTGCACAAACAGAAGGACAGTGACAAGACACAGATAATAGAAATAGAATAAGCAATAGAAAATAGCAATATGCAACATACATATATACACACACTAATAAGCATTACTAGAAAGGTAAAAGACACCGAGGTAAAAATGTCTAAGCTGTATATATCCCTTTTTCCCATTGAACATTTTGTAAAAAGAAACCTTAAAAATACATTTATTAATCCCAGTTTGATTACAAAGGTAGAGAGGCAGCTGGAATTATTCAGCTATGCAGACACTGATCTATAATCCTCCTGGTTCTGTAAGAAACAAAGATAATAGATATTGAGCAAAATGTATAGAGAAGACAGATTTTGAACTCAAAGAAAAAAAATGTCCAAGCCAAATCAATAAATGTACACTTTTAATTAGAATTAGACATTTTAGCAAATAGAGCTTTAAACAATATTTGATCAAATAAAAACCCTCATCAAGAGTTCTTTACGTTTACTTTATCGTTCATCTTACAGTCTTTGTCCTATAGACCTTTCCTGCTCTAGTACAAAAAAAAAACAAAGTGCACACCCATGATTTTAATAGGTATTTTGAAAGTAAAGTCCAAATACTGTGATGCATATTAACACACAAAAAAAGAAAACAAGACAGCTACTTCCACTGGAAACCCCAGCGACTGACTCCAGTGTTAAAGGTGGTACTGAATCTGCAGTCTAACCAGCATGCTTGTATTTCCTGGAGAGCAATAGTCTCGTTGGCAGAGATGTTGGAACTGCCCTCTATGGGGGGCTCTACTGGCTATAAATCATGCATCTGTTTGTCGATTTTTGATTTTAGATGTTCCTTGTAGGCCAGAATGTCCCTGCTCCATTTTGTGATAGTCTGCTTTTCACAAACCCAGATCTCCTGAGCCACCTACAAGGAAACAAACCAATATTACTACAAAGTAACAAAGACCTCAAGTCAGCTGCATTAGCTTGACCGAGACAAAATGATAGTTAAATGTACAAGAAGGGCAAAAAACTAACTTAAACCTTCACATTACCTGCTGAATAAGCCTAAAGTCGTGGCTGACCAGCATCATTCCACCCTCAAAGTCATTGATCGCCTCAGCAAGAGCATCAATGGTTTCAATGTCAAGGTGATTGGTCGGCTCATCAAGAAAGAGCATGTGGGGATTCTGCCAGGCCAACCAGGCAAAGCAGACACGGCACTTCTGCCCATCAGACAGATTCCTAATAGGGCCCACCTAGTTTAAAAAGGAACACATCAATATGTAAAGTAGAATATATTTGCAGGTTAAAATATTGTTTAAAAAACAAAACCTACCTGCTGTTTGCCGGTGAGTCCATAGCGGCCAATGATTTTCCTCATTTCTTCTTTCTCCTTAATCTCAGGGTAACACTTCATCATGTATTCCAGAGGTGAAAGGTCAAGCTCCAATTGCTCTGTTAGATGCTAGAGAAGTTAAACACTATTAAAACCAGTCTAAACCACTGAACTCAAATTATATGGAGGCATTTTAATATTAACAATAAAGGTCATTTAAGTTATTGCCATTATCTTCACTATTATGATCCTGATCCATTATAATTATTACTACGTAAATGTCATGACAAATGGTCTAGCCAACAGACCTGATGATATCGTCCAATCTTCACATGGGAGTGTTTTCTAATCATACCATCTGTGGGCAGGAGCTGGAAAAAAAAAAAAAAGATATTTTATAAACCACAATACTAGAAACTCCAAATTACACAAAATGTGTGAACACCAAAGTTAAATGCATTTGTTAAAATCTGCCTTACCTCTCCAGTAAGGAGCTTCAGCAAAGTAGACTTGCCCGCCCCATTGGGCCCTACAAGGGCCACCCGTGTGTCCAAGTCAATTCCAAACTCCAGGTTCTTATAAATATGTGGCTATATAACACACAAAAGATACATGTGAGAACCTCAACCCAGAGAAAGATGCAACAAAAGTGTGTCAAATGTTGTATTGTATATTAGACCTGCGTACCGTATTTTCTGAATACTTGAAGCTGACATTCTGAACCATAATGACAGGAGGAGGGATCTTCCCACAGGGAGAAAAATAAAATGACAGGGTCTGAAAGGACAAGGTAGTTGGAGTCATTTTGCTATTGACTGAAATGTAGCATATACAGCAACAAAAAAGGCAAACTGCATAGAGTTGTACCTGAGATCAAGTGGAAACTGTTTTTTTTTATTACCTTGTCATTCACAACACGCTCGGTAAGACCCGAGGCAACCATCTTCTGTAGAGTCTTCTCTTTGCTCTGAGCTTGTCTAGCCAGCTTGGCAGAACCGTGACCAAACCGAGCAATGTAGTTCTGAGGATCAACAAGAACACGTTTAGAAATGCAACGAAAATTAGCATGTTTACAAAAGTACATTTAGAAGTTTACCTTCATGTGTGCCATCTGGTCTTGCTCCCAGTTAAACCGCTTCATCTGATTCTCCTCCAGTTCCTCTCTGGTCTTCACATACTGGTCATAATTACCCTTCACAGAAGAGGATGAATGATGAAAAATGAAACTGCACACTTGTAATTCTAGGAAATCAGCCCCAAGTGCTTACGGGGGACAGAATTAGTCTCTTTACCGTGTAATATTTCAGCTTGCACTGGTGCAGGTGAATAATGTTAGTACAAACACCATTGAGGAAGTCCTGAGAATGGGATATTAAAACCAGAATTCTTTTGAACCTGTCAGGGAAAAAAAAAAAGAAACAAACTTGAGCATATAGCTCTCCGCATGGTCTTTGCAAATAACTGCATCACAATAACAGTATGCATTTTGTAATATAACATTGGCAACACTAAAGGTGTGCTTGTTAAGGTGTATTAATTGTAACAACATTTATTACAATGCCATGTGTTACTACAGCATTAAGATTAGAAAAAAGATAGTGGTATCCTAACATCTTCAAACAAAACTGCATCTAGGTTGTGCTGACACATCAGTTAAACGCTTCGGTCTAGTTTTTGTCAAAGCTCTATCCATATCAAGAACAAACTGCTTGATGGAAGAGCTACAATTCGGCCTTTTGTTAACATCATTTCATCAGCAACAATACACAGTAAACAAATAAATATTAACCCCTTTATTCAATATTCTCACACAGCCTTCGTTTTAAAAATAAAGACTTACTGTCTGAGCTCTTCCTCCAGCCACACACATGCGTCCAAGTCAAGGTGGTTTGTTGGCTCATCCAAAAGCAGCATGAAAGGCTTGAGAAACAGTGCCCTGACGATTTCAGAAAAAACATGAGTTTAAATTGTTATGAAAAGATATATGCAGACGCATTCACTGAAATGCACGGGGATCAGAAAATACGCTTCATACCGTTTTTGTCACTGCACAGTTAGCACAAAGCAACTGCGCTATCATTCGGCCTTTTATTACATCATCTCCCAGCAGCTCTAAACTTAAGTAGAAGATTCTGAAAGCTCACCGAGCAAGAGCAACACGCATCCTCCAGCCACCGCTGAAGTCTTTGAGTTTCTTCTGCTGCATAGCAGTAGTGAAGCCGAGACCGTTGAGGATCCGCGAGGCCCTCATCTCGGCTTTATCAGCATCCAGCTCCTCCAAACGCTCATACAGCTCCATCAGTTTCTCACATTCAGCTAAAGTTTGACCAACAAATGTAAACAATTAAATTCACAAATTACAAATAAGTGTTCCTCAACCAAGAGATTCCTTAAACTGAACAGAATTAAGGAGCATTCTCAAGCCGAGATGTTTAATATACCACGCCTAGGAAAGGAAGCTGTTACAAAAACAGTTCCTATGAAAACGTGGAAAGTTTTCATATTGATCTGACCTATTAAAGAAATTATTCTCCGGCAAAAATGTGAAAATGTTCATTAAACACATTAAATGTTTATCCTTATGCCATCTCTGGCTCTCTGACTTCTTGGGATCAAACAATTCAAATCGGACAAGTATGGTTTGAACAAGTAAATGCCAATTGTCATTTCTAGGTGAACTAATCCTATCAAAATATGTCATTTGCATTTGATCAGAGTTGTTGAAACTCACAGTCCTCATGAGCGAGCTTTTCAGCCTCTCTCTCCAGCTGGATTCTCTCTTCATCTACCTCCATGACACACTCCAGAGCAGTCTTCTCACTGGGAGCCATCTCACGGGTCAGGTGGTAGATATCAATGTGTTCTGGAATCGGCACCTCCCTGTGACCAATTGCTGACAGCAGCATGGATTTGCCTACACAAATTTTGATACAAGTCTGTTATCTATGAGCCTGTCAATTGAAGTAATTTCTAAAGCCACCAAGAGGAGATCTATTAGACCAACATGAACAGATTGTTGATTTACCAGTTCCATTGAGTCCGATGAGGCCATACCGACGGCCAGAGTTGAGCTCCAAACTAGTGTCACTGAGTAGCTCTTGTCCGTGAAAGGTGAGAGACAAGCTGCTGATGTGCACATCAGTGCTGTTGGGATGAGATGCCAACACGCCAGTCACTGCCCGAGCCTCGGTTTTCTTCAGCTCAAACTCATCCAGCTCCT